AAGAAAATTAAAAATAAATGAACACTAACAAAACATGTAAAGGATGTGCATGGTGAAAGCCACAAAGTGCTGATGAAAGAAATCAAATCAGATCGAAACTATTGGGAATAAATACCAGGTTCATGGATTGGAAGATTCAGAAATTAAGATGTCATGTGTTCCCCAAATTGATATACAGGTTTAATGCAGTTCATACTAAAATTCCAGCAGATTTTTTGAAGATACAGATAAGACTGATTTAAAATTTATATGAAAAGGCAAAGAATCTAGAGTAAGTAAACCAGTTTGAAAAAGGAGAATAACATGAAAGTAATAGGTCTACCCAATTTCAAGTCTTATTATGTAGTTAAAACAATCAAGACTGTATATTATTGGCAGAGGAATATATATATAGATCAATGGAACAGAATGAAGAACCTAGAAATAGATCCATATAAATATGCTTATTTCTTTTACAAAAGTACGCAAGCAATTCATGGCTCTTTCAAAAAATGCTGGTGGAGCAACTGAACTTTCATAGGGAAAAAAATGAATCTCAACTTAGGTATCACAACTTATAAACCCAAAATGATCACGGCCATAAATGTAAAATGAAATTAAGTAAACTATAAATATGTAAATGTAAAATGTTTAGAAACAAATGAAAGAGAAAATCCTTAGGACTTAGGGCTAGGCAAACAGTTCTTAGACCTAAAACAAGATGCATTAGTCATAAGAGGAAAATGGATATATTAGACTTCATTAAATTTAAAAAATGTTCTCTACAAAAGATCCTGTTAAAAGGATGAAAAGACTAGCTATGGAGTAGGAGAAAATATGTGCAAGCCACATATCCAACAAGTGCTAGCCCATACTTCTTGCTGTACTTCTGGAATATATTCTCAAAACTCAACAGCAGGGGCACCTGGATAGTTCAGTGGGTTTAAGCCTCTGCCTTCAGCTCAGGTCATGATCTCAGGGTCCTGGGATCGAGCCCCGCATCGGGCTCTCTGCTCAGCAGGGAGCTTGCTTCCTCCTCTCTCTGCCTGCCTCTCTGCCTACTTGTGACCTCTGGAAAGTAAATAAATAAAATCTTAAAAAAAAAAAACTCAACAGCAAAAGAACAACCAGTCGGAAAATGGGCAAAATATGTGAAGAAACACTTCACTGAAGAAGATACACGGATAACGAAAGATGTTCAACATCATTAGCCACTAGGGAAATGCAATTAAACCACAATATCATTAACATAAATACCATCAGAATGACTGAAACAAAACAACAGTGACAATACCAAATGCTGGCGAGGATGGAGAGCAACTGGATCACTCATATGTTACTGGTGGAAATGTAAAACAAAATGGTGCAGTCCCACTGGAAAACAGTTTCTTTGGATACCAAACATGCAATTATCACATGACCCAGCACTTCTGGGCATTTATGAAAACTTTCATACAAAAAACGTGTACACAAATGTCTATAGCAGCTCCATTCATAACAGCCAAAAACTAAAAATGACTCAGATGTCCTTCAATAGGTGAGCAAACTGCAGGTTATCTATACTATGGAATATACTCAGCAATCAAAAGGAAGATTATGGGTGCAATCTCATTCACTCTCCAGAGAGTTACACTCAGTGAAAAGAAAGGCCAATCCCAAAATGTTATATACTGTCCGGTACCATTTGTATACCATTCTTAAAATGATCTTTTAAAAGGAAATAGAGAACAGGTTGGTGGCTCTCAGGAGTGAAGAAGATTGTGTGTGGCTCTAGAAGAGCAACATGAGGGACCCCTGTGATTACAGAAGGGTGCGGTATACTGACTATACCTGTGTCAGTATCCTGACTGTTGCACTTTAGTTTGCAAGATGTTACCTTTAGAGGAAACTTGGTAAAAGATACCTGGAACCTCTCTGTATTATTTCTTACAACTGCATGTCAATCTACAATCATCTCAAAATTAAAAGTCTAATTAAATAATAAATGAACAGATCATTCATGAGCTGTGGAACAACTTCTAGCAGCCTTAAAAGGTTATGAGAGGAGAAATGGAAATACGTTTTTATGAGGTTTTTATGATTTATATGAAGTGGTATAATATTACTTAAAGGTAGAGTGTGCTAAGTTTTATATAGTCTAAATCGTAAAGAAACACTAAAACAAAAACTGTTATAGTTGAATAGCCAGAAAAGGAGTTAAAATGAAACCACAAAAATTTAATTGATTCAAAAAAGGGAAGGGAATAGGGCTGGGGAAGGGGATAACTATGGGCCAAATAGAAAACAAACAGCAAGATGATAGATTTTAAACCTAGCAAGTATATCAAATACAAGTGATTAAATATTCCAATTAAAAAAGAAAAGATCACATTGATGATAATAAAAAAGCAGGGACTAAGTCGATAGCCAAACCAAGTACTTCTGGTTCCTGAGGGTAGTTTTCCTTGAATTCCCTCATTGGGCCACATTACAAACCACATTAGGTAACAGCAAGCTGCTAATACCCCAATGTTCTTTGTATCTCCAGGTCATGCAAAAATGCAGTATAAATGGTAGGCAGGAAATGAAAAAGAAAGAGGTCAGTTCGTTATGTTATCGAGTACACTAACTTAACACTGTCTGTTCATAAAGTGCAAAACACTTAGCAGCCAGCTTTTGAGGCAGTGTGACCTAGCAGGGCTCATACTGAGGAGTCCTGGCTCCTTCACTAACTAGCTATGACACCCTGGGCAACCTCTTCATTTTTCTGGAACTCCACTCATTTATCTGAAAAAAGGGTAAGCGCACACAGTTGTTGTACATACTATATGCTGTTTCACTTAAGGCGCACGGTATGGCCTGGGATTCAGGCATTGCTCAATTGTTAACTTCTTTCCTCTTCCACCTCATTTGTGCATCTGAGTAACAGCCAACCAGATACCAGGTCCTGACTTCTAGAACCTGGTAAATATTGCTGTACATGGCAGGTTTTGCTGGTGTAACATGGATCACCTGGGTGGGTCCTAAATGCCATGTTTCCTTATGAGAGAAGCAAATAGAGATCAGGCATAGAGGGGGTGATGTGAAGACAAATAGCACAGACAGAGGACTGATGCAGCCACAAGCTAAGGAATGCCGGCAGCCACGAAATGCTACAAGAGAGGCATGGATCCTGCCCTAGCGCTGCCCCGGGGAGTGCAGCCTTCCCGACATCATGACTTCAGCCCAGGAAAATGGATTTCAGACTTCTGGCCTCCAGAACTGAGTGAATAAATTTGTTTTGTTTTGTTCCGCTTAATTTGTGGGGATTTGTCACAGAGCCACAGGAAACTAATACACTAACCATGACTAATTCAAAGACGGTTATTAAGGTGGAGGGGGCTTCCTGATAGTGGCACTGGGGTCAGGGACCATGGATGCTAATTACTCAATAAAGAAGTCCACAAAGATGAAAACAGCTAAACATCTCTCAGGCTGTCACCACATCTTGAAGCTGAAACACCTTGGAGGACCCAGCTCTCTGGTTCAGGTACGTGACAGAAAATACCCAGTTTCAAATGGTGTTTCTGAGGGAGAAGGGACTTAAAGGCCAGGTCCCCTGCCTCCTGGGTGTGCCATATTAAGATACTGTCTGTAGCAGACATGTCTATTTTAGCTCAATCTATTCTTCCCCTCGCTATTGCCTATTTCCCATCTACCCCTCGGGTACAGCCTCATCTTGACTTGTTCTTTTTCTTTTTTAATTTTTTATTAACATATAATGTATTACTAGCCCGAAGGGTACAGGTCTGTGAGTCGCCAGGTTTACACACTTCACAGCACTCCTTGACTTGTCCTTGATGTTCTCCTCCACCTCTAAGGAACTTATCAGTCTCCTCCAACAACCCCTCTACTGTTACTGACCTTCCCTCTGATCTCAACAAGGCAATACTGGGATGGCCAGGACACTGGTGGGCTCTGAAACCTGGCTGCCTGTGTTTGAACCCCTTCTCTGCTACTTGTGTCCTTGGGTGGCCAAATTAATCTTTGCCTCAACTGTAACATGGAGCTAATGACAACAACTACTTCATACAATTGTTTAAGTATGTGCAGTGATTAGGAAAGTGCCTGGCACAGAATGTGTCACAAGCATATCACCGCTGTGACATCATTTATTGAAGGGCAGCTATGGCTGATGTGGTAACATGCGAAACTAAGTCCCAGAGCCTGTTACTCTCACCAGTTTTATTCTGAGTGACTTTTACATGATCTGCCCTCAAAATAATCCCCCCAGGGCACCTGGGTGGCTCAGTCAGTTGAGCATCTACCTTCGGCTCAGGTCATGATCTCAGGGTCCCGGGATCGAGCCCCACATCGGGCTGTCTGCTCAGCAGAGAGCCTGCTTTTCCCTCTCCCTCTGCCTGCTGCTCCCCCTGCTCATGCTCTCCGTCAAATAAATAAATAAAATCTTAGAAGAAAAAAAAGACGCCCCTGGAATTAACGCATATTCCTACCAACAGCAGGCAATAATGGCATATTCACATAACAGAACACCATGTGGCAATGAGAATGAATCTATACTAACGATTCCATTCACGTAAACATTTGTGATGGTAGAAGTCAGAACAGAGACTACTGGGGGAGATGAGTAATGACTAGAACCAAGCATCAGGTACTGGTTGGTATGTGCTTTCTCCTGATCTCGGTGATTATAAGGCTATGTTCTTGGTAATATTTCAAGTGGTACATTTTCCTGTATGTATATATTTTTTAAAGATTTTATTTATTTATTTGACAGAGATCACAAGTAGGCAGAGAGGCAGGCAGAGAGAGAGAGAGAGAGGAGGAAGCAGGCTCTCTACTGAGCAGGTAGCCTGATGCGGGGCTCGATCCCAGGACCCTGGGATCATGACCTGAGCCGAAGGCAGAGGCTTAACCCACTGAGCCACCCAGGCACCCCTCCTGTGTGTATATTATACTTCAAATTTTAAGTTAAGTGATTCCCCCAGCCTACCACTAATTGGTCAATCCAAGCATGTGACACAACTGCTCGTTCAACTGCTGGTGAATAAGGAAGGGGCAGTGAAGCCACCAGGTGCCAGACTTTAGGGAGCAGGTAAGTTTGGAGTGTGACCACAATCACCCCCTAAGTAAAAGGGCCAGCTCTTTGTCTTCCTACTGAGACACCTCAGCACTCCTTATGAGAGAACTAGAGCATTTCCTTGGCCCACCGACCAAATCAAAGGGCATGGCAGGCATGCTATTCTAGAAAAACTGGTAAATGGCAGCTGTAAATGCTACAACAGCTTGGCATTTCCCAGTTTAATCCCTAGAAAACCATCCATTCCACATAAAAACTGGGTAAACAAAATGAAAGCCTTAAGAGCAGTAGCTATTGGTTTCGAAGTCAGGACTTAAATCTTGCGAATGGACTCCTTGACGCAGACAGAGTTTTGCAGTAACACTGAAACAGAGCTTAACTGGCTGGGCCTGATGTAGCCCAGGCCCCTGCATTACAAGGGGTTTTTCATTCTCGTCACAATCACAGGGACTGCGGAACAACAGCTAAAGACTTTCCCACACATTATACACATAAAAACGTTTCTCCACCAGGTTTGTTATTCCTGAAGATTTTTGTTACAGTGGCTCTTTTGCAAGGGAAGAAAACCTACCCTAACTTTGCTTGAACAAAAAGACAACAAAACAAAAACAAAGTTATATTGTACTGGTTACTGGAACTCAAAAACCAAGCTGTATTTCTGGCTTCAGATATAGTCTAATGTAGTTGTTCAAACAGAAGCTTCGAGGGTGATTGCTCTTCAACTCTGATTTTTCTTTTGCTGTGTTGACGTTCTCCTCAGCCTCCACAAGAATCTAAGAGCTCTTCTCAGCTTTAAGACGAAGGGGGTAAAAGAAGAGTATTTCTTCCTAGTAACTCCTGCCAAGTCCTGCAGCTATGACTGGACCACGCTGGGTAAACTACTGACATCTGAACCACCAGCCACGGCTGAGGGGAAGGAATGTGCAGTTGAGCCAGGCCTGTGTCACACATCCTGCTCCTGAGTGGAAGACAAAAGCCAAAGGCAAATTCAGTAATCTACTACCAGTAAAAGGGGGTGAAAAACTCTGGGAGGCCAAAATGACAAATGTCCAGGACAGGTTTGTCTCCAGGGTGGACATGCTCATGATGACCTAGCTTGGAAGAAGTCCTAAAGGTTTTTCCATACTTGACACACTCATAGGTTTTCTCTGCAGTATGGCTTCTTTGATGCTGAAGAAGATTTCTTTTGCCACTGAAGACTTTTCCACACGCATCACATAAATAGGAAGACTCCTGAATATGGATCCTCAGATGCCTTTTTAATTGTTCCTGAGCACTAAAGGCTTTTCCACAATCTATGCAGTCAAAGGGTTTCTCTTCACTGTGGACTCTCTGGTGCCGAGTTAATTTTGTATGAAAATTGAAGGCCTGACCACATATTTTACAAGAATAAGGCTTTTCCCCCGTGTGAATACGCTGATGTTGGCTAAGATGGGACGTCCTTCCAAAGCTCTTGCCACACTCATTACATTCATAGGGTTTCTCTCCGGTGTGGATTTTCTGATGTCGAAGTAGTGGTGAATTACCAACAAAAGCTTTTCCACACTCATTACACTCATAAGGTCTCTCCCCAGTATGGATTCTTTGATGTATAACAAACTCAGAACTGCTGGTAAAACTATTTCCACACTCTCCACAGAGATAGGGCCGGTCCCCACTGTGGATTCTCTGATGCCTGATCAGATTGGCATTATCATTAAAGGCTCGTCCACACTCTTCACACTGATAGGGTTTCTCTCCAGTGTGGATTCTCTGGTGCCGAATTAATGAAGAATTGCCATTAAAGGCTTTTCCACACTCATTACACTCAAAGAGTTTCTCCCCAGTGTGGATTCTCTGGTGTCTCACGTAATACGAAAAATAACTGAAGCATTTCCCACACTCCTCACATCTGAAGGGTTTCCTTGCACAGTGCATTCTCGGAACCTTTCCTTTAATATTTTTCACTGTGGGGATTTCCTGGTGCTTTTCCAGTTCACAGGCTTCTAGAAAGTTGGCTCCATGAACAGCACTCTTCTGCAACCCATGTGACAATATCACATCTCTTTCTTCAGAAATTCCCTGTGTTGATGTGGACTCATTGCCAATGCTGGTCTCAGTATCTAATATAACATAAAACACAAATGCCACCTGAGAATTATGCTAGAAACAAAACAGTATTGGAAATTATAGAGCCTTTAGAGATTATTATTCCAACCCCCACACTGGACTGCTAGCAAGACCAGGCTACTAAAATCAAAGTGCCAAATATCATACAGAGAACAGTCGAGGAGAGATAGGGTATTGGTATACACAGCACACACCAGGTTGCTTCCTAAAGTTTTCCAGACTCCAGACTTTTTGAATAACTTCTCTCTGGTACATTCTATTATCTTTCCACCTTACCATATTCATAGGCCTACAAAATAGCAAAGGCACAGGCCCTAAGAGCAAGTGGTGACACTGGGGCTGGCGAGACTCAGAGTCAGAATGTACAAAAGAACAGAGTCAGAATACAAAGGTGATGAAGGAAAAAGATTCTTTTAAAAAATTCATACACTCAAATGGCCCAAAAGCCTGGAGACACTAAGCATTAAAGGCACTAGGCTGTGACAAGGCAGAGAGAGAAGAAAATCCCACTCAGAGGTTCTCAGCTGCAGGACATCCCCCCAAAGTTGTTCACTGCAGGTTCATAGAGGACAATGAACTCCCTAAAATTGCTGGAAATTCCTGTCTTGTTATCAGACTCTCACAAAAGTCTGAATCTCAAACATGCAGAAACTTTATTTGGAAAGGAAGAATACAGTTTACTTAGATACAGCAAGACTGCAGAGCAGTTCTTCTCATTTTAGAAAAAGAAGACAAACAGCCACCTGTAAAATGGCATTCGTATTCCAAGACTGGATGCCATTTACCTCAGTTAAAGTCAATCTACTTTTTTTTTTTTTTTTAAGATTTTAGTTATTTGTCAGAGATCAAGCGAGAGTGCACAAGCAGGGGGAACAGCAGGCAGCGGGAGAAGCAGGCTCCCTGCTGAGCAACTAGCCCAATGCCAGGCTCAGTCTCAGGACCCTGGGATCATGACCCAAGCCAAAGGCAGATGCTCAACCAACCGAGCCACCCAGGTGTCCCCAAGTCAATCTGTTTTATATAAAATGCTGGACTAATTTTGTTTTAACATTAATCTGGGTTACCTGGGACTCTTCTGCTCATTAATCAAGTTCATCCTTCAAGTATGAGTTAAACTAGTAAGAGCCCTTGGAGATAGGCGGTGGGAGAGGAGACACTGGAGACTGAAGTGAACAGGGCAACGAGCAGTATAGAAGACAGTGATCACAACTGAGACCTGGCGGTCTGCTCTTTACACCCTGCCTTGTTCTTGCTACTAGGGTGCTCACTTATAAAACCAGGACTTGGGCAATCAATGACCAAAATACTGTTTATTTTCCTGCTGCCCCATAATCTGCCATCATCTAGATCAGGATCCCCACAGCAGTTCTTCCAAGCCACCACCTTCCTAGCCATTACCGCCACCTTCCTGCTGAAAGAACAAAGCTGCCCAGATGCAGTGCCTTCAGTGTCTTTCCCTTCCATTTCTACCCCCACTCGTTCCAAGCCATCTGCTGCCCTCTTACATCTCATGCTTCCCAATCACCCCTCATGCCATCTCCTCCCTTCCCCAAGCCTCACTGCTCTACCAGCTCTATCATCCCTCCTCTTCATTACCAACCATTTCCTTCTGCAGACCCTCAAGTCCACTTGGGCTTAATGATCACCCCTTCACATCCAACTTTTTCTTACAGTAGTGTTTTTCAAACTGCCTTCAGATCAGGTCATGATCTTAGGGTGCAGATCGAGCCCCACATCAGGTTCTCTGCTCAGTGGGAAGCCTGCTTCCTCCTCTCTCTCTGCCGCCTCTCTGCCTACTTGTGATCTCTGTCTGTCAAATAAATAAATAAAATCTAAAAAAAAAAAAAAAAAAAAAGGATAAAGCCCTCAGATCCACCACACACCCTGCATTCTAGATTTCCCATACAAGGCTGAGTGAGTAAGACACAGCAACTACCTTCATCCCTACCACTGGCTGAGTAAAGGGGGTCAGGGTATACTGTAGACTAGGCCAACCTCAGATTCTAGAAAGCTTACTTGGGCTTTAAGTCCTAAGCTTCACGCTCTTCTACCGCTTACTAGAAAAGACAAATACTTATAAGTGCTCCAGAAATACCTATTTTAAAATATGCTCTCCAGGTAACTGTCCCTGAACATTAAACTGCAAAATTCTTCTGAACAATTTACTGGACCCTCTACTCCTTTTCTTAGGCCAGATAATCTACCTTCTTTTTTTTCCACATGGGATCCATTGTTGTAAGTCAAATTTGGAACATAAAACCTGCCACTGAAGCAGCTTACTTGAGCTTCTAAATGGTAATTTCTCCAACTTCTCCTTCTGCTGTGCTCCCACAGCCCACTACCTATATACAAACAACAGCTTTTAATACACTTTTTAAAAGTTCTTTACATCTATCCCCATAGCATGTATCCTCCAGAGCTTTTTAAACAAAGCTTGGCACACGGTAAATGCTGAAAACCACCTGTGAACAAATCCATCTTGTCCAAAGAAGGGGGAACCACTTAGATAGGAAAAGCTCAAACTCAGAAAGGAGTAATGGATTCAAAAACTACATAAACCCTAAGGGGAACCTGTTATCTTGTTAAGAGTTAAAATTAATGGGAAAGGTTTTGTATTTTACTTATAAGAGAAATCAACCATTTATTTAAATTCTTCCCAGCATGGTTCATTTGAAAATACAGTGCTCTATAAAGCTCCATAGTTGCCAGTTCTAAACCTTCCTCCTTACCTTTACAGATGTCTTTGGTCCCCTCTGCAGATGGGTTCTCCTGTGCCTCCAAGCCCCAAGGCAAATTCTCTCCCTCCAGAAGTGAGATCAGGGCAGGTTTGGGCACTGGGTATCCTGAAAAGGGGGGAGAAAACGGCACCTTTCGGCTGTGTGTCCAATTGTCAAAAGAAGGAAAACCCCAAGGGCCTCGGTAAGATGAGATCCACAGAACAAGGCCCGGGACTGGAGAAAGCCAAGATTTGATCAAGAAAGCAAGCATCTGTGATCCTTTCCTACTTAAAGAATAGATAAGTTAGTGAGATCCTACAGACACAGGGAAGGGGTCACACCCTAGCTAAGAAATTAGCTCTGGCAATGAAAACTATGTACTCCTTACTGTGCAGAGCCCCTTAGAAGATGGGATATACTCTTACCAGGGGACAGCAATTCCATAAATTGCGACCAAATTGACCCAAGATCTCTCCCTACCCAGCAACCTTTGAAGTGGGTCATTTGGTTTTAGCCCTGGAGCCAGAGTGGAGGATACCAGAGACAACCACTCCCTCTCCACACTGCACACCCAGCCTATTAGGAGAGAACAAGGAAGGAAACAGGAAAGCACAGCTCTGAGTCCCAGAAGGAAAGCAGCCTTACCCAGGGATGTCAAGTTCCCATAATTCTCCAGCATCACGCTTCTGTATAGGGCCTTCTGTGTGGGAGAAAGACCAGCCCATTCTGTCCGGGTGAAGTAGACAGCCACATCCTTAAAGGTCACCAACTCCTAAAACAAGAGGTTCCTGCTGCCCCAGAGCCAATTTTCTGACTCATGGACAGAGTACAGGGCATAGGGGACACTATGAGTGAGGGGTCCTAATAGGGACTGCTAATGAGAAAAAGTGAAGAAACTGGATGTTGGACCATTAAATCACTATTTCTACAACCAAAAATCCAAAACTTCTTTCATTAACAGAAGAGCTTCCATTAGGACATGAAATATAATATTTCATAACACAGTAACATTCAAAAACCTTGGATAATCTCCCATTAATTAAACTTCCCAAAGCAAATTCTTTGATTTTATAAATACTCCTAATATTTTGTTGTTACACCTATGAATGGACATTAGCTTCAATCGATCTAGACTCCCACTCACAGGTAGCATGTCAGGACCTACCTGTTCCCCCTTCACTGCCTCAGTGCCCAGGTAATCAATCCATCTGTACCCGACAAATGTTCATTCTTTTTTAAAATTTTTTTTTAAAGATTTTATTTATTTATTTGAGAGAGAGACAGTGAGAGAGAGCACGAGAGGGGAGAAGCTCAGAGGGAGAAGCAGACTCCCCGTGGAGCTGGAAGCCCAATGCGGGACTCAATCCCGGGACTCTGGGATCATGACCTGAGACAAAGGCAGTTGCTTAACCAACTAAGTCACCCAGGCGCCCACAAGTGCTCATTCTGCCCCAAATCTCAAGCCCACCTTAACAAGAAGAGTATCATGGTCTGCTCTGATGAGCCTGTCTCATCCAATCCCGATCTGTGTTTGAAGAGCTATACTGCCTGTACTTAAGAACATCTAGCAGAGATCTTAGTGCCGCCTGGAGCAGTCTATTCTGATGGACTTCCTGATGGGTCTTCCTGGGAGAATCTGCTTTTGGAATCAAATTGCTGCTGGACAGCTCTTTTAGGGGCTTTTCTTTATACCTCCAAGACAATCTACAGTCGCTTCTACCAACCAAGTCTCAAGATTTTTCAACAGCCCCTCCTTTCCCTTCTCTGACGGCCCCAGCTCTACCTCCCCAGAAAGTGCCAGCATCTGGTTTAGACCCTCTACCTACTCCTTAGACTTTAGTATCAACCTGGTTACCTGAACATGCAATGAATATCCTCCGACTTTCTAATGCCTCAACTGATTCTGCAGATCCCCATCTTCCACTAGTTCCAGCACTCCCTGGTGACCTAATATGCCTGACCCATCAACTACACCAAATTTATCTTCCAACCAAAACTGGCTTTTCTAACTCATATAAACTAATCGGCACAATGAGCGACAATATTGTTTCCCTCAGTTAACAGTACCAATTTCAGCCCGGACACCTACACTACAACCTGAAATTTACCCGAGACTAACTCACTCTAGTCACTCCCCATTTCTCATATGCAGCTGGTAATCAGATCCTGCCAGTTTCATTGCCCAAATATTTCCAGAATCTGACTCTTCTACACCATCATACAATTAGTACCCTAGCTCAACAGCTGGGGACACTTAAACAGCTGCAGGACAGTTCCAGGCTGTCCTGCATTGAATCCATCCTCAGCCAGCACATACGATGATCTATTTTAAAATGACAACATGACCCGCTAAACTCAATGACTTAATGAGTCAGCACTAACTACAACAGTGGTTCTTAGAGTGTGGTTCCCCAGAGCAGAAGCAGCAGCAGGAGGAAGACCAGGAGAAGGAAGAGGACTGGGGAGGTGGGGGAGAGAAGGAGGGGAAAGAAGGGGAAAGGAGGAGGAGGAGGAGCAGGAGCAGAATCTGAAAACCTTTTGGAAAGCAAACTGGTAGGCCCCACCTGAAAGCAATTTCTGCTTTAATGAGCCCTCCAGATGATTCTGGAGCACACTAAAGTTTGAGAACCCTGGACTAGAGGATAAAATCAAAGCTCAGGACACTGAGCTTCATCAGGTGATAAGTAGTGAGAGGAAGGCATGAGACTGTACACAGAGCAACTAGCTGGAATGATGTGCCAACAAAAATCCCAGAAAAGGAATGATAAACCATGAATGATGGCAATATAAAACATGGGACATGTGAAAGAGATAGCAGGCAGGAGGAGTTGGGACTTGGTGCCTCTCTAGAAGTGGTATCAAAGGAGAATGAGTCAACAACCACTCAACAATCTGGAAACAATCAGGACTGTGTGATATGGTGGTACCAGTGACTCACCAGCACTTACAGAAGATGAGAAGAGGGTGGAAGCTATCGGGAAGATAGTGCATCGATTAAAGTGAGGGAGAGGGACCTACAAGATGTCAGAAATCCAGGATTGGGATTTGGGATATAGTTCATGGATGTTAAGTTACTGGATAAATAAGTCCCGAGAAGAGGAAATGATAATCAAAACCTAGCAACTCCCCAGTTAAAAAGTGAACTACAACTCAAGAAATCAATTTCCCAGTTCCACAAATGTAAAGTACTTAATGCTCACTTTACAGATGAAAGTCCATCAGAATACGGAGTTCAACTGATTGGCTCAAGACCACAGAGTCCTGATGGGATCCCTAAATTCAGGTGTCCCATCCTAGCACAGAAGATTTCCCCCATCACAGCCTGCTGGTGCCTCACCTTAGCCAGCAGCAGTGACATTGAGGATGATATATTTTCCCTGGTTACGAAGCCAAACTTCTTTAAGAGGACAAAGGCTAGGAGCCCCTTTTTCTTGTCTTCTTCCTGCTTGCCCTCTGCCCCCACCTCCCAAGAACCTTGAAACTTCACTGATCTCGATCACTTCCACCAAACACTGGATACTTATACCACCAACCTGAGTCCTTCATTCTCAGAGATCCCTCCATGGGGGTCCCTACTGAACCTGGGCGCTCTCCAGTTCAGCAGAGAGCTAGAGAACAGGAGACCACTGATTCCCCGGACACTTCCTCCAGCCAGTGTTTGCTGGGCTTCTGGCTGCTTAGCCCCTCACCATCAACTTTCTCCCCAACATCCAGTCCTACAGGAGAGAAAGAAAAGATGCCTTCCTGCTGCTTTGTTCTAAGAGTCTTGCCAGAATTATCCCTCTCGTGCCCCATTCCTTTCAGATTAGATCTCTGAAGGCTAACCTGAGGGAGTCACAGCTCACCTGGTGCCAGGCGTTCAGGGGCATGGCTGCCATCACCTGGGCTCCCTCTCGGTGAAGGGCAGGGGCTGAGGGGAAGAAGCAAAGAGAACCATGAGTGAGCTTGGCCCAGTCAAAGGCTCTCCTTTAAACCAACAAACCTGTGACCAATAACAACAGCAGCCATCATTTATCCAATGCCCATTGGAGAAGTGGCATGTATTTCTTCCTTCACCCCACTCCATAAAATGAAGTGTGACTTCGGAAGAAATAGATTTTGAAAGATTAAGTAACTTGCCCTCAGGCACCAGAGCCTGTACCACCATCAAGCCATTCTGCCTGTCCTGGGTAAGATGTAAGTAAAGGGGGAACAGGAGTACACAAAGAGCAAAACAAGCAAAGACAAAAGAGCAAAACCTAAGACGAGGAAACCCAGGCCTTTATTTTAAAAAAAATAAACTGAGCCTGGGTGGCTCAGTCTGTTAAGCATCCAACTCTTGATTTCAGCTCAGGTCAGGATCTAGGGATCATGGATCCACTCCCACGGTGAATACCCCCCCACCCCTCCGTGCAAAGTCTGCTTGTCCCTCTCCCTCCGATCCTCCCCTGGCTTGCACTCTTGTGCTCTGTCAAACAAGTAAATAAATAAAAATTTTCAAAAACTCAAAACTTTTACAGAGAAACCTAAAAAGGAAAAAAAAAGTTATTGGATGTAAAATTCATTCAGTCTCCACTTTAATGCTCTGAATTTTCTTTTTCCCAAATGAGAAAACAAGGCTATGAGAATAATTTTCTTTACCAAGGTCACAAGGTGGTAGATGAAACTGGATTCCAACCAGATGTACCATATTCCAAAGGTCACATTTTCAGTTAACTACACTAGATCACTTCCAGTAATAATCCCAAAAGGATCTTTTAGAGCCTGATACAGTGATTCTGAGGTTAATATGGAACAGTCACCAAGAAAATCGAGAGAAAAGAATCGCAGAGTAAGTCTTTTTTCTTTTTGTTCACCACTCCATTCTAGGACCCAGTGGTGACTGATTAGCAAAGGACCATGAAAGGCCACCTCACCATGCCAAAATGCTAGGTTATTACTTTAACTATATCATCCCCTACAGACACTTTGTATTTTTTTTTTAAGATTTTACTTATTCATTTGACAGAGAAAGACACTGCAGAACCACCAGCAGGGGGAGCGGGAGAGTGCGAAGCAGGCTTCCTGCTGAGCAAGGAGCCTCATGAGGGGGCTAGTTCCCAGGGTTCTGGGATCAGGACATGAACCAAAGGCAGATGCTTAACAACTTAGCCACCCAAGTGCCCCGACACTTCGTATTCTTACTAAGCAGTCATATTCTGCCCCAAAGCCACTATCTTCCCTAACCTCACTGCATGCTGTCATTTCCTGCTGGCCTCATCTTGTGCCACCCCCTCCTTTGTTTAGCCACTCTGGCCTTCCTTCAGTTCCCTCTACTGTGCTAATTCAGGGCCTTTGTACCCGCTATTGCCTCTGTATGAATACTCTTCTCCAACCTTAGGACCTTTGTAACTGATACGGTCTGCCTACAATACTCTCCAGCAGCCTGACCCTAGCTCACCTAGATAATACTAGATCATCCCTCAGATGGTGCTCTACAAACCAGGTTAGCTTCCCACGTTAGAATCTCCACTCATACCGTGTTCCCTTTACTGTATACCACCTCTCCCAGTTTGAGATTATACATTTGCATTAATTTGTGCTTTCTTCACTCAACAAACATTTATCGTATACTTCATTCACTCCAGGCCAAGTGTGAGATACAGTGGAGAGAGGAAAAATGGGTGTGACCTTCTGTCATGAAGCTTTGTCTTGACTAAAGGAAGGACACATACAAATCAAAGATACTCATACATAACAAAGATCACAACTGTGATTTGTGCCAGGGAAGACTTAGGGATAGGAATTAACTAAGTTAAAAACGCATGTTCTGGAGGCGAAAAGCCAAGAAGGCTGTAGTACGGCCAAAGAAGAGTGTGCTGCAAAAGGACGGTGTACAGTTGTAGAAGATGGAGCCATGCAGGGACCTGTGCACATGTTAAGGAGTTGGTCTTTAGCCCGAAAGCAACAGGCCACAGCTACTGGGTTGCAAGTAGGGGGCGCCAATCGATCACGTTTGATGACTATGTGACTTTCCCACTAAACTGAAAGCTCCCGAAGGGTGAGGCCCACGCTTGGCTCCTTTCCAGCCGCATCCCTGGAACTTGGAGCCGCAGCTGCCAGGCAGCGGCTCGGTAGGTAGTGGCGGGGCCAAAGGGCAGAGCTCCGCAGCTGTGTCGCGCACACAGAGCGCCTACTTCCCGTCCACAGCTCCTCGTCCCAAAGCGGCAGCTGTGGGTTGGGGCGAGCGAAGCCACCCAAGGGAAGGCAGCACTGGCCGGCAGGTAGCCAGCCTCCGCCTCCCTCCGCCACGGTTTCCGGGACGCAGGAGGCAGCCTCCTCCAAGGGCGAAAGGTGCGTCCCTAGCAGAGACGCCGGGCGACAAAGCCCACCACTCACCTCAGAAAAGAAGCAGTGTGCAGCGTGACCGGAAGCGCGTCACCGCCGGGCCCCGTCGCCCGAGACTCACGAGCTCCTCTCTAGGACGCCGGAGCGCGCCGCTCGGTTGTCCCCAGGCTTCGGGCCCCGGGGGGCGGGGGCTTCTTAACCTGCGGTCCTCGGAGACCTTGAATGGCAGAGAAAGTTGACTGTTGTTTTAGCTGATCTCTAACCGAAATTTAGCATTTCCTTCAATTACGTATTGGCAACATACCACATTACTATCAGCAGTACCTGTGACTTTGTCACCAATAGAAATCATAGATATTTTCATATCATATCACAGTTAATGCAGGTATCTCAAAATATAAGCTATTCTCATCCCTAATTTGAAATTGTCATCGTTGTTATTAGGGCTCACCTTTAGATTTTGTCATTTCATTTCACCACAGTGGTAAAGGCACACGTATACTAATGTATCCCAGATTTTTTTTTAAGCCATTTAACTATATTTTAATATAACTAGTTTTAGAGTGGTCCACAGATGTCATGACAATGCCAAAGAGACGGGCAAAAAAATACCCCTGTCCTCAGGGGTAAAGGTCCAGTCACATTAAGAAAGACCAGGATTGAGAAGGGATACTATTTTAGAACTATTTAGGAAGTGAAAACAGTGGAGATTTTTTTTTTAAAAAGATCAAATAACAGATACGAGGAAAGGGAGCAATCTATTCTAGCCATAAAGTTTGGGTGACGTGATAGATGAAGGTGTCATTAACTAAGACTCAGGTAATTCAGGAATTCAGGAAGAGGAGCTGGACTCAGGCAGGAAGATTACAGAAATTGGTTCTAGAAATACTGAACACACACACACACACACACACACACGCTTTATTAAAATGTAATTCATATCCCACACTAATGTATACAACTTAGTAGTTTTTGGCATATTAAAAGAATTGCACAACCATCACCACAATCAGTTTTAGAACAGTTTCATCGTTCCCAAAACTAAACCCTGTAACCATCAGCACTAGCACTCACTTTCCATCTTCCCTGTGATAGGCAGAGTAATGTCCCCTCAAACATGTCTGGAACTTGTATGTTAGGTTACATAACAAAGAAACATTAAGTTTGCAGATAGAATTAAATTGCTTATCAGCTGATCTGAAAGTAAGATTATCCTGGATTATCTAGATGGGCCCAGTATACTCATAAAGAGTCCTTAAAAGTGGAGAGATCACTGGAAGAGGTCACTGGAACCACAGAGGTAACAGATTGAGAGAAACTTGTCCCAACATTGCTGGCTTTGAAGCTAGAGGAAAAGAGCCACAAACCAAGAAAAGTGGCCTCTAGAAACTAGAAAAGGCAAGAAAATAGTCCTTCATTAGCCAACACTTGGAATTTAGCCCAGTGAAACCCATTTTGGACTTCTGACTTCTAGAACTATAAGATAAATTAATAAACACATAGAGTGTGTGTTAAGTCACTGTTCATGGTAATTTGTTACAACAGCAAACAGAAAATTAATACAACCCCCATGTGAAGCTTTCCTCCATTCCCAAACAACTACTGATCTACTTTCAGATCTACAGACTTGCCTATTCTGGGCATTTACTCATATAATGTCCATTAAATCTGGACACGAAACAAAGTCTTTATTGTTGGTAATTTTATTAGTCTTTAGAATAATGGAAACCTATGTGTTTACTGAGGTTTCCATTATTGGAATGGAAGAGCTTGATTTTTTTGCTTGGGGAAGAGGGTTGCTATACTTTTAATCTGCACAAACTCAACAACAACAACAAAAGACTACCCCAATGAGGAGAAATGTCTCAATTATCTCTGGTAAATGACCACTCCAAGCAGAGAGACTGTGATTTGAGTTGTACTCTGAAGTGCTTTGGACAAACTACATATTGCGCCATCTTTCAACCCTGGCCATGAACATTAGCAGATGTGTCCTACCAAGGCTTGAACTTAGGTGCCCTGTTTCTCCATGACATTGTATTGATTTTTATGCAAGTTTTTTCCTTCAAATTATTTAGTAAATTTAACAAGATTACTGTCACAGGTGAATGGCAGGTGAACAATTACTGTCACAGGTGACTTATGGGGGAGAATTAGAACTTAAGCAGTGTTACTTATTTCCTGCATAGTCACATTTTATGAACCAGAGTGCATACTACTCTTGATATTTAGAGAGAAATTCAGTAGGATTTTGCAGTCTGGGTTTCCCTGTCCAAGACTCTAATCCAATGTCCTCAGGATCATTAGAATGGGGAAAAGCTAGCCACCTGAAACCCTTTTTGCTTAAATGATGAGTAATTTCCACTCCCAGCTGCCCACACGGTATTCCAGTTGAGTCTTCAGGATTAATAAATAGCTAACTGGTACTGTTCTATTGTACCACCCACAAGAAAATGTATACTCATACCCAGGTCTATTGTGGTATCTACCATCAAACATAATTATCTTAAAGCCTTGGCCACTCCTCAGATTCCAATAGAGGCCACTTCCTGTCTTGGTCACTTCATGGCCTGAATACCCGGCTCTCCCTCTAACT